GAGGCTGGTACAGGACTGGGCAGCATTTTGGTTCACTGTGTATGAGCTGGGGACTGATTCAACTGCCCTTCAAGAAGCCTACAGTTTAGTGGGGAAACAAAATATATAAACAAGTCTAATAACAATACGACATATGAATTAAAAAGATGGAAGGAATAGTTCAGAGAAGGGTATTATTAAATCTACTAGGGAGGACAGCAGAGTTTTGAAACATGTATGTATACACACACAGACACACACACATATTTTAATAGATATTCATTACACAGAAAGCATGTGGATACCAGAAAGAAGAAATTATTTAGTTAAAGGCAAGAAGGGATAATGCGGTAGCATGGTGCATCACAGTTAATATCACTACATTTTTAGAGGTGCAGACAAGGACACTCTGCTGTAGCACATGGTGTTAACTGATCATAATCCTCCCTCTTTCTGGTGAAGTGCATATTCAGTTTTAGGACTATTTTCAACACAGTCACCAGGTGGCTACTACCAATTAACCAGAGATGGCCAAAAAAAAAATCTACCTGCCATCTAGAAGTAGACCATGAAAGGCCCATGATGGGATTACATGGAGATGGACTTCAGGCCAGTGGTACTCCAGTGTATACCAAAATCACCCAGGTAACATTCTTGGGCCATAGCATGCATACTGATACTTACCAAACCTAATCTGGAATCATCCTACTAACATCAGCAATTCTCAATCTTGGTTGCATATTAGAACCACTGGAAAGCTTTTAAAAACCCCAATGCCTAGGCCATACTCTAGACCAAATTAAACCAGATCTCTGGTCATCAGTTCTGCATTCTTTCCCAAAGCTGAGAACCACTGCTCTATACTTTGAGGTCCCACTTTCTGGTCTACCAAATCAGAATGTCCAGAAGCAGGGTCAGGGATATGTATTTTTGAAAAATACTCAGTGATTCTGATATATAAAAAACAAGCAAAGAATCACCACCAAAGTAGTGAGTCAGGGTAGAGTTTTACAGAAGGCAATGAAAGGCAGATTAGCATCTGCAAGAGACTTCCTGGACAATAGTAGGAAAATGAATTGGGAAGGAACCAATAGGAAAGCTATGAGAAGTTCAGTCAAGAGATAGGGGCCTGAACCAAGGTGCAGTGTAGTAAATTACTTAGTATGGCTTTTCTACCCATAAGTCATTGTAAACTCAGTGGTGGAATGAGCAACTAAGGAGCTCCTAATTGTAAATGTTATCCACCTGGGTTATTTCTGTTGGACGTGGCACAATGCAATGTTATGGGAGGCTCACTCTCAGGTGCTTAGAATTCTGTTGTTATGATTGGTTGGTTTGGCCACTCTGACAAGCTCAAAAGGAGGCCTCCTAGAGGCAGAACTCTCTCTGACTGCTGGTTGAGGAAGACATGCTGCCGAAAGAGAGACACGCTCCTGAAAGAGAGACGCACTGCTGGGAAAGGGACACAAGAGATACACATTGCTGAGTGAGACACCGAGGGACATGCAGTGCTGGGAAAGAGACTGTGAGAGACTGTTGGCTGAGGGATGGTGGGCTGGGAGAGAGACAGCATTTTTCTTGAACTCGAATTGTAGCCTGTGGTGCTTCCGTAATAAATCCCATAATCTGTGAGTTCTGTGTGGCCACTGCAGCGAATTATTGAACCCAGGAGAGAGGTGGTGGGTGCTTTGGGAGGAATGGTTGGAGAAAGGGCTGGAGGGAGGCAGCATGTCTGGCCTTGCTGGAATAGGCCTTGGGCTATTAATGGTGATTCTGTCTTCCTCTTGTGGGATCAGAGGAGGTGAGAACATGTGGCCTCCTTGCCCTTTTTGCACCAGGTATGGAGAAAAATCTAGAATGATGCCTAGGTTTCAGGTTGGGCAGGTAATAATGGCACCAACTGTGATGGAAAATATAGAAGAAAGAAGAGATTTTGAAGAAAAAAATTCAGATTTTGACATGTTGAGTTTAAAATACCTGTGGGATATATAGGTCAAGATGTCCACTAAAATAGATATGTAAATCTGGAAATATGATGTGCCTATTAAGAGCCTTGGTGAGGTTACTTAGGAAGACTGAGAAATGAGCCATGGATGGAGCCCTGGGGATGACAGACATTTAAGGAACGGAAAGAAGGTGAGACTATAGCATAACAAAGGTGAAGAAGGAACAACAAGAGGGGAAATCTAGAGGAGCAAATTACCCTAGAAACCAAGAGAAGCAAGTGCAATTGGCCCTCTGAATCTTTGGGTTCTGTATTGCTGATTCAACAAACCGTGGTTTAAAAATACTCAGTAAAAAAGCAAGTAAGTGGTCAAAATGATCCCTAGAAGGCTAAGAGAGAGCATGACATGCTATTTATATACCATTTATATTGTATTAGGTATTATGAGTAATCTACAGATGATTTAAAGTATACAGGAAGATGTGTATTGGATATATGGAAATATTATGTCATTTTATATAAGGCACTTAAGCTTCCTCAGTCTCTCATGGATATTGAGGAACGACTTATTTCAAGTATTTCAAGAAGGGGAACAAGGTCAAAGATATTAGAGACTAAATAAGGGCTAAAAAACATCGATTCTCTGGTGGCATTGTCATTAAAGCATTTAGCTGCTAACCAAAAGATCAATGGTTCAAACCCACCAGCTGCTCCCCAGGAGAAAGATGAAGCAGTCTGCTTCCACAAAGATTTACAATCTCAGAAACCTTATGGGGGAGTTGGAATCAACTCGATGGCAGTGGGTTTGGATTTAGTAATTACAAAGTCAACTTGGCTTTAGTTAGGGGACAATGCAGAGTGAAGGAAGGGTTGAAGAGCTCTTTTTTTAGGTTGGGAAAGACATATGCATATTTACAGAACAAGTAGAACTTGTAGAGAGGAGGCAGGTGGAGTTTACAGAAGACGGAAGGAATCATCAAGGACAAAGTAAGGAGGGAATCTAATCAAGAGTAGTAATAATGGTTAAAATTCAAGCTAGTTTGAACCTAGGATCCACATATTCTAGCTATATGAATTTAGGCAAATATAATAATCATTGTTTATTTCCTCAATATAAAAAGTAGCTATCAATAAAAACTTTCATGTCAATAGTTGTTGGAGGGCTAAATAAGGTAATTCATGTAAACATTTAGCCTAGTGCTTGCAACACAATAAATGTTTGATTCGTTTAAAGCACACAGAGGGCAGGATTTGCAAGAACAGGACAATACTTCTTTAAGAGAGGAAAAAGGAAAGTGAAGGTAGGAGCAATAACAATAGGTTTGAGAATAAGAATCTGATGTGGTATACAACAGATGTTCCCAATTGTTTTAGTGAAGTAGGAGTTGTGATAATTTAAAGATAGGGAAGAGAGCTGGGGATGGATAGACATGGGAAAAAAAGCCACTGAGAGGTGATGGAGAGATGACTAATGACAAGTAAAAGGATCAGCAAATAATGATAAACATTCCACTGAGATGGGGGAACATGAACTTACAGTGGTACCATCTGCTCAGCAGTGGAATTCCCCCAGCAATGGTGGTACACTTTGGCTCAATTAACCAAGACCTGACTCAGAATTGGGATCTGTAAGCCACACTGTGGAATACGAGGCAGTTATACCATATAGTTTAGGATACTGGAAAGATGGTAATTTATCTATGATGGGGCTCCAGGGTATGTGGAAAAGGAAGGAAAACTTAGGAAGGAGGTAAAAAAGAAGAGAGGGAGAGATAATTTGAGCTCTCTATGAAGGAAAGAGAATAGAGTTTCTAAAGCAGATATTTGGGTTCTTATCTCTGCCATTTACTAGTTGCAGGACCAAGGTTAATTTTCTTGGCCTTTCTGTGCCCTATTTGTAAAACAGAGATATAACTCAAGGGGTGTTTGAAAAGATTAAATGATCTAATTCAAATAAAGTGTTGAAAAGAGTGCCTGAAACATAGTAAATGCATCACCAAGTCTTAGCTGTTATTGTCACTACAATGACTAAAAGTGAAAACGAAATAGAGAAAAATATTATTTTAAGAAACCTGGATACCAAACAAATGATTACCTGTTTTTGTGTCGGACCTTGTTTTGAAAAATAACCAAAGGAGAAGAGCCATGGGAACTAAAGAAAACAAACAAACCCCTCAGTTAATTTTTTTAAAAAATTATGAAAAATACTTCTAAAGATCTAATTTCATCAAGTTTTACTTACTTTTATGAGAAGCTGCTTTCCAATGCCAAACCTCACAAAGAATAAAAAGAAAAGTCCTGCAAACATCAGCTTAATAACAGAGGTGATGCCTCCCACTGCTACATAAGCAGCATATTGAACCTAGATTAAAAAGATAAAGTTAGAACATTACTGTCTGCATTTTAGACCAAATAACACAAGAATATTAATGGAAACTTTAGTCATAAATACAGAACAAAAGCAGTAGGCACTTTATGAATGTGTTATGCTCTGAAACCTTATTTATATGTTAGGAGCATTATTTTTCCAAAGAAAACTGTTGCAAATAGTAATTAACTTTCTCTATTTGAACACTAAAGTCCACAAAGCCCATATGTATCTAAATTTAGCAATAATACATTACAGAATGGAGACTCTATTTACAACTTCTC